AAAGGTGACAATGATCCGATTAAGTTGACACGAACTAAGCGCAAGAGGGAACAGGAGCAAAAAGAAGAAGAAATGGTAGAAGAGAAAGAAAAGAATGCCAACAATGTCGCGGTTTATCTGCGCGTCCTTGGCTAATCTCTGTCCGTGAAAGATTACCCTATCACTGAGAGTTATGCTATGTCTCCAACACTTGGTATATGTAAGCGTTTCTATCAACTCTATCGCCTCTATCATTTCAAAGATCCTCCTCTCTATATCCTAGAAGTTGATTTTTCACTTTTCTTTTTTTCATCTCTTTTCCTCTCTTATTTTTTTTTTCTTAATTCTTAATTATTGATTTATACCTACATCTAACTCTTCTCAAAACTTTCTTCGCTTTCCATTTTCCATAATGTTTACTATTATATATATATATATATATATTTCATACAACGTCAAAGTTTTTATACATATATTGAATTTTTCAACTCGTCTCGTTGCTTTGATGCTAAAAAATACGTTCGACTCGGGAGTTAAAAAAAAAAAAAAATATCATTGGCGATGGTCACTCGCGTTCGAGGACACTCCGATAACGCAATCGGTCGACGTACATCAAAATACTTATAGGTTCTCAATTTTCTATACATTAACTCTTGTCGAGTAATGTATAACATTTCTACCGATTGAAAAAGATTAGAGAAAAAAGAGGGAGTTAAAAAAAATAAAAAATTCAAAGAACACAGGGACGCGATAATTAACTTTTAAGGAACAGAAGCTATGTACGAATAGATATTTCGAAGACATAACCTCTAATTATGAATTCGCAAAAATTTTAAGGCAAATACGTTACTATATTACACGACTCGTTTCTCGAGTCACGCATGTAGGAGAGTCGCAAGAAAGAAAGTACAAGGAGTGGCAACAACGGTGGTGACGGTAACTGTGATGATGACTATGGTGGTGGCGGTTGCGGTGGTGGTAGTAGTGGTGGTGGTGGCCGTCATAGCGGCGGCAGCGACGGCAGCGGAAAGCAAACGCGGACTAAGACCAACGAGGGAGGAGGAAACGAGGCTAAGCAGGACGATGCGCGTTACGTTGGGTCATGCTGCGAAGTGTTATCGCAGACCGGCGGTCGACCGATACCTTATCTGGAGTAGTTGCACACCGACAGTGGCTCCCAACTTACTCGCATAATAATTCTTTTTCGTACAAAGATCGATGCTAGAATATTAACTAATTATAATCGTATAGAATATATTCTGCTCTACAACGATGAATATTGATATATCTGGATATCAGAAAAGAAAATCAGAAATATTTGAAAATATGAGGTGAAGCTAATTAATCTAATAGAAATGATAAAATCGAAAGAAGAAAGGGCAAACAAATTTCACGTTTAATCCGTCAGATGTCTCCAGTTAAAACCACGCCAAACATTCGATACGATGATATTCAATAAGAAGGATGTAAACGTTTCTTTATCGAAACATTGATTTATGATGATCGTACGATTTGATCGGACGATTCATCCACACAAAAAAGATCGAGACACACTAAACAACACATCTGGACTAGACTAATTGTAAGTTCGAAGAAGACTGCGCGGACTGGTAGGACAATGTTAAACGTTTCTTCGACGAACGCCGGTGTATCGCGAGATAACTCGTATCGTTGTGGCTGGTACACCGGCCGATAGAACACCACCCACTATTCCACCTAACACAACCGAGATAGAAGTCAGCGCGCGTGTCGGATATCGCATCGACGTCTGATGCCGTTGTCGATGTTGATGTCTATCAATTATATCGTTATATCAATCGATGTGTATGCCATAACGAAATTGGTCGTGAGAAAAGTTAACTATGAATCGAATATTAAGAAATTGAATTGAAGATCGATTGATTATTTCGACTTTACGCTTTTCCTTTTTTTTTTTGTAAAAAAAAATATATATATATATATTGTATATACATTTAAAATCAATGGAGAAAAATAAATATTCATAAAGTTTCTCCATCTAGTAACATTTTTATCTTCAAATTAATTGTACGTATATACAAACGCTAATTCGTTCTTTCGACCAATAGTAATAGTTCAAATGACCTTGGATATGCCAAATATAAACGTAAAAATCACCTCACGAATGTAACATTATGTTCACTGGAAACAGTGAAAAATAAACGAACAAGTCTATTTCAATTGGGCCGTTCGATACCAGACCATATCGAAGCTGGAAGAGGTGGATAAGCAACAAGTGTGTGTAGTGAATTTAAGCGAGTCACTCGAGTTAGCTCGGAATATTTTGCGATCGTTCGCGAGTTACGATTTCTAACCAGTCGAACCGTTTCGAGAAACTCGAAAACAATAGGTAACCAAACGGATCGTAAATAACACGGTATGCGGTATGCAGCGTGAAGTATGGTGTATGGGGTATGAGGTATAGGGTATAGAGCAAGAGGTATAGGGTACAGGTTATGTTGCCACCACTAAGTCTTGAGCGAAAAAAGAAATGACTTTTAGATGGTAAACAAATTACACGCAAATCTCGATTTAGAATCGATCTAGAGTTGCAAACGAAAACTTGAATATTCTTCCTTTTATAGTTTCTGACATTTCTCACGATGCAAAATTAATATGTATAATGTTAACGAATTCAATCGAATTTGAAAAAAAAACAACTCGTGAATGTTTGAAAAGATACAGTTTTCAAGGCGAAAGTTACATTAATCGTAGAGATGTTATCGTTATTCGATTTTATTTATATATAACATGTGCCATGTATGAGAATTTCTCACGTTCATGCATCTTTTTCTATATTTATACAAATTTCCCATTGCGATTACAATTATAAAAGATAAATGATAATATTAATTCGATCAGTTCAATAAATTCAATCTAAAATCTAACACGATAAATTCTAATCTAAATATCATCTCGCTCTTCGAAAAGAATCTTTATCTTATTTGAAAGAATGATATTTCGCTTTGCTAATTTTAAAGGGCTGCCAATTTAATTAAAGAGGAATTAAGGCGGAGCAACCCGAGAGAAAGGAATTCTTTTCAGCACCGTTACGGCGAACCATTCGCAGCGTTTCACTGTAGCGGCCATTTTCGAGCATCCATGATACTACGCATCCTCCTCCTTTATCTCCTCCTCTTCTTTCTCTCATCTCTACCTGTGCTAATGGTAACTCTTGTACTAGTATATGTGAAATGAGTATTCAGTTACTCTGTATAGAAACGGAATATAGATTTGAACAATGATACCAACCATGCAATCCCCTTTACAATATTCATTTTCCTCTTTTCTTTGTCTTTATATGTTTGAGTATTAAAACGTATAAATGATTGAATTAAGTAAATACTTTGGCAACAATTAAATTCTAAGAAAATGGATAAATTTTAACGGGTAACTTTTAACGTTACCACGCTACTATGCTAATATCGTGCTATTGTTGCGTACATTGACCCATGACGACGCAACACGTCCGTCGAATGGTAGAAAAACTTTGATAACGGGATTGGACTTGGACCTTGTTAACTATAATGTTGGAACTTTACGTTCACAGCTTTTATGTTTGAAAGTGCTATCTCTTGATCACGATTTTCGTAATTAATAACGCGCAAGCGTGAATTACAAAGTAAAATTCGATGAGTTTATCGATTAAGTTGAGAACGGTTCTAATATCCTTTCTTTACATATGAAAGATTTGTGTATTTTCGAATAATTTTTAATTTATTAGAAATTTATTTAATGTAAATAAAGAAAGAGAAATTAAAAAATCGAACGAATGTTAAGATATTTCATGTGATCAACTTTCTGTTGCTACGATTTAATCTCGTTCAGAGATATCAGGTATAAATATTTGAATTTATGAAAAAACTCGATTTTTGTTGATATCTAACAAAATCAACATCAACGAAAGTTGTTACGACTTTTTCTTACGACATATTTCTTCATAATAATATATACATATATATCGTATAGTAACTAGATATATCCGTGCCAAATATTCACATATGATAATTTTATAATCTACTTTTAAGTTTGAAATTTCTCACAGAAAGAAAATAATCATATCGATATCGATCATAGGAAGCGATGCATCGCTTGCATCAAATCTATGTATAAGTAGTGACGTGAAAATCTCCATTTGTGAACGAAATACGACGATAGTTATTAACGCGTACATTGCGTTATCGCGACCAGTAATAGAATTATCACTCTGATATCCAACGTATATACATCCCGCACGATCGACACCCGATTTCCAGTGACTCGCGGACCACCGTAGCCCGTTGTTAACCTATTCTTTTCGATTCGGCGACAAATCTCGAAACAAACTGTTTCTCTTTATTTTTATTTATCACTTTTTCGTTCATATTATATAATCTAATTCTAATATTCTTTCTTTTTTTTGAATATTTCTTTCTTTTATTCCCTAGTAAATATATCACGAATTGTTTTTGTTTTCTACCTGTTAATTTTTTTATCGATCGATTCGCATCAAATTAATCAAACATGCATCGCATCGAAATCTCCGAATCAGTATCGAAGAATCGCTCACCGTATTCGTTGTGTCGACGTTTTTCCATTTCTTCACGGATTTCATCATCGGTTTTTCTTCTCTTCATCTCTCTTTCTCTCTCTCTCTCTCTCTTTCTCTCTCTCTTTCTCTCCCTTTCTTTCTCTCTCCCTCTTGTTCCTTTAGTTGTTTCGACACGAAATTGAACTTTCTCAACTAGACAAAACTCTTTATGAAAATTATTCTTGAAACCTGTCGCTACTTTCTTTCACCAAATCGGCAAATTATTCAAATTTTTACACTTTATCAATTTCCTCCTTTTTCTAATTTCTTTCTTTTTTCTCTTTGCGTATCGCACTTATATTACAATTATTTCCACAAGACAAGTGGCATGAACGAAAATATACGACACACCAAACACTTTTTTATTTTTTTAAATTGCAAAAAAAAATATAAATTATAGTAAAAATTATAATACTCGCAAAATTCCTTTTACCGTTTACTGATTAAGATCGTGTTCGCGTTGACCACCGTTCTAAGATCGGTAGCGAGGCTGGTGTGCATTATGTACACAGAGGAGAACCAGCGAGCAGAGTGAAGCTAACAAAGAGGGCACTCGACAAAAAGAGCGAGAGAATGGAAGAGTGAGGAGTAAGAATAAGCGAGACAGTGTATATATATGCATGTATGTGTGTATGTGTGTATACGAGAGAGAGAGAAAGAGAAAGAGACGATCGTAGTTCCGTGGATGGTCGAATCAGATCGGGTGGAATTGACTGAAGTCGAACTAATGGTATCCGATCGAATCGGATTGGACCGTATCGAATAGAGTCGAATCGAATCAAGACTAGTTGGGATAGATGTTGTATCGGGTCAGGTCGGATCGAATCGGATCGAATCGGTTTCGATTAAATTATACAAATGACTTTGGTACAGATTCAAATCAGCGTCAAACTTCAATTCCGAAGGAACTGCAAAATAAAAGTGAATATCAATTTTCTGAAAAGATAACAAAAGAAAACGATAATTATGAATATTGAATATCTAAAAAGAATAATTTTAATTTATTAGCTTAACCAGGGAGGTCTTTTGGTTCCTTACGATCGGCTACTTGCTCGTTTTTTAAGGTGGGGGTATCGCGAATAGCGCTAAAGAAAACTGCACACCGTCAACTCGATCGCATCGTCGTGGATCGACGCTGTTCGTTTACGCGTCTCACACACGTCACATTCGACAATGCACGCTGATTCTCCTTCTCACATTCATGTCGCGAAAAGCGCATGCGCTTCTCCTTTTTTTCCAACATGTTTTTCTTATCAATCATAATGTATATACATACGTGTGTGTGTGTGTGTGTGTGTGCTGTACATATACGTAACATACACATGCTATGCGTTTAGATCGTTTTGTCTTTCTTTCTAACCATTGCTTTGCTTCTTCGTTAACTTTTCATCTTCTTTATCACTATTCCTGTCAATTTCCTCTCTTATTCTCCTCTCTACTTTTCCTTCTCTTTCATTTCGTCCTTTCAACCGATGATAGATCTTTCTGCTTTTGCTAATGTTAATCGTCTTTGCAACCTAATTAGTTATTTTGTTATTACGTAAGCAATATGTAGCTTAAGTAATACGTCTCGAAAAATATTTATGATTTTCATTGATATTTTTAAATATTTCAACAATCGATCAATACTCTGACAAAAATTCGTGAGACTAAAAATTTTGAAATCGATTTCATTTCCATTTCGTATCGTCTACGATTTAAAGCGCAATATGCTTTCATTTGTTACATAAATGTATAATGCATTATAGAAGCAAACATTTTTGTTTCTACAAACACGATGATACATTCTTGCGTCACTCGTTACAGTAGTACTTTCAAAGATTCACAAAACAGCCATTGATTATCAAAGTAAACGATTTGCTCGGTATAAATCTTTTCAATGACTAATAAACTCTTTTTTCCCTAGATTCAGATTATGCGTTAAATTTAAACAAATTACTTATAGACGTGAAAATCTCTTTTACAAGTGATTGGTAACGATACGCACGATTGTACAATCACGAACAAAGGGAATAGTTGTTTTGTGAACACCTCGATGTTAATTGTTTTTTGAAATGATTCATACTACCTCGTGATCTTTTACGGTATTGCATTTAGTGAAATATATGTTTATTGCTAATAGAGAAAATTAAAAAAATCAATGACATACATTCTTTTTCTATTTATTTATTTCGTAATAATTGCATTCTATCGTTAATCGAATAAATTTATCATTTTATTTAGTTACAAAGATAATCTACCGGAAATAAGTATGTATATCGATACTCAAGGACAATCACGTTCATTCATCTGTCTTTACTAAGATCAATGGATCGATCGAGCTATATATTATATCGATATTTGATAGTTTTATTTAGTTTTTTTTTTTACTATACCATAAAATATATATTCAAAATCTATTTCGAATTTGAACGCTTTATTTTCATGTTTATTTTATCATCTTATCATTATCCCAATTATATCAAAATAGATTATTAAAAATCAAGATCGTGTTATTATTCGGTTTTATTGATATTTTTCAAAATTTTACGTTTCTTTTATAACATATTGAAACACGTTGTTTTTAACTTCTTTTAATAAATTTTCTATTAATCGCTTTTCCTAAGAAACAATCAATATCTCTGTGCAAACTTCACTTCAATATGTAAATCTTCATCATATAAATAAATAGGTTAAGACAATTTATAGAAATTCTTTTCATTTATAGAATTGTAATTTATAAGTCTAAGCTTTTATTTTCTTATCGTATGATTTATATATATATATATAAAATATGTACAATATATATATTATATATATATTATGTAAGAGAAATTAATTTAATTTTGCTGTTTATGCTGTTTATTATAATAATGCATATCTCTTCTCAACAATCGATAAATAATTAAATTGATGAAAATTTTGTTTGAAATTTTAGCATATTTCCAATCAATATCCTCTCTTTTTATCTCTTTTTAAATCATTGAGTAAATGAATAAAATATTCTTTATATTTAATATTATATATATATATATATATATATATATATTGCTCTATCTTTTTTTTAACATAAGAATAATTCATGTTATTAGCTTAAAATAAAGATGGATCAGAGAGTCAAAGGTCAATATCATTAAACGATAACGTGCGCTACTTTATTTTTCCAAATGTATTTGCACCAGTGTAAATAAGTAAGACAAAAGTAAGAACAAAGTGTATCATAATCAATTGATAATAGTTAGTCAATATTTCTTTTGAACTCGAGTATTATAGAAATATCGACTCAATGCTTATATACCTTTTATTATTATGCTTTTACTTTTATTTTCACTGTTTTACTTATTCTTACCCACGACAAAAATATATTTCTATTAATAAATATCAAACGACGAATCGTTCAATGATTAAGACATAAAATTTATTATATAATCAAATGCGAAAATTTTTTCATAAAATAAAAAAAAAGATTTTATCTAAATTAAGCATTAAATACTTTCTTTATGTGAATTAAATAATGTAAATTTTATTTTATTTTTATACGGTTCCGTTTAATTTCAATTGAATTTTTTGTCCAATACATATTTTCTTATGATAATAATAATAATAATAATAATATGAACGAAATAATATATGATCCTCTTAAATCAAGTTATACATAGCAGAGCAGAATACCAATATATTCCAGATGAAAACATATCACATTATCGAATACGTGTTTTTTTTAAACCCGTAAAACGGATAATGAGAAAATTAGATCGCATTGCATTCTTTTTTTTCATTGAATATAATTTCATTCGAAAAATTTACAAGTCACGATTGTTAATATAACTTAATCATTTAAAGTGTTAGTCGACAATATGAAAGGAATAATAAAATTTGCATGTTTAAATTAAATAAATATACACAATTAAAAAACCCTGTTGATATGGTATTTCTTTAATAAAAAATAAACAAACAAAACGATCTTATAAACACGATGGTGAGCAGATGAGGTAATCAACAAATAGAAGGGAATCAGTTTGGGCATCATCGATATTAATTACAAGTTTCTCTCGAATGGTATTCACAAAAGTCACATGATACTCCATTGTTTCTTCTTCCCGATATTTACCTAAGTAATGTACGCGGTTCGTACTTATTTACGTCCCTATCTTTAACCAATGATTAATCCACAACCCAGTCTAAATTGCGGTTTACTATGATTTATCATACCACTTAACGCAAATGTAAATGGCAATGGCTGTAATTTCTTTTCCAAAACTGCACCCACAGTCCAATTTGTATCTACGCTTCCTATAAATAAAAATGCATACAATGAATTTTGAAAATAAATTACGAATGAATACAATTAATAATTTAAATGCTACCTCTAAATATTAAATCAGCTTTAGGTAAATCGATTTGATAAGCAATTGCTCCGGTAGATTCTTGTATTCTACAATTAATTTCCAATTCTACACCAACTTGTAATTGCTGACTAGCTTTTTGATGAAAACAGAGATGACATCCAGATAAACCTATTGAAAATCTTGTTGTAAGTTCTTGTTAGTTGTTACTTCTAAATAGCTTTTTAATCATTATAAAATATCTATACAATTATAAAATATCATTAAAAATATCCTATTATAACTATTAAGTTCATATATCTCCGCTTACATACCTAAGCTACCACTAATCGTAGAATCTCCGTTCGTATATCTTCCAGCGGCTGAGAGAACAGCAACTTGACCTCCTGGCACAGCTGGACCTCGTTGATAAGCAAGTTCTCCACCCAACGCAACAGATGGAGTTATGCTTTGAAGATAATGCATTACAAAAACGCCTAGAAAACAATTTATTCCTTACTATTATTGTTCCTAAAATTTTACGTAATTGATCTTTACCTCGCACGCTTACCAGAACCATTAAGTATATCCGGATTACCCAAAGTCAAAGAAACTGTATATGCATCACCACGATAATCCGTTGTCATTTGAACAGCTGTAAATTTACTTTTCTGTACTTGAGTAGCTAATTTACCTCTTAATCTTTCACCAAATTGATGAATAATATTAGCATTAAGATTTCCACTTGGATCTATATCACCCAATAACACTGGATAAGCTTCTGAAGGTACCGGTTGCTGTGTACCAACATAAGTTGCTCCAAATCTGAAAACATTTAAATATTATATCTGATAGATTATTTATAATTAAATAATATTTAAATTTATATCAATTTCAATCCTACCTATACCCAGATTGTGCAATGGAACTCATGCTTATTGTATGAGAAATTTGAAAGTGATTACTAAGACCTTTATTAAACATCAGTTTTGCACCTTCGAAGTTTGCAGGAAATACATCTATCATAATATTAATAATTAATATTAGAGTTATTTTAATTGTATTTGAATGAAAATTTTTTTATTATATACGTATAATTATATCATCAATTAGACAATAAAATAGATTATGCGATAGAAAAAAAATGAATTAAAAATAATATTGATTACGTGATATACAGATACCTTTACACTTTTTATGAAGATCCTCGATTGTACCAGGATTTTTCAAACCATCAGAAAGTCTACTAGAGTTCAAAGTCTCAGAAGAATCTGGTTTTTCTAAATTTGGTAATAAACCTGAGGTCGGAGGTGGCGGCGAAGGTGGAGGAGGTACAGAAGCTGCTAATACGTTTCCCATTTTGATAAATTTTATGCGTAAGAATTTTAATAATTTTCGTTTTCCCTTTGTACAAATGACACAATATCTTACTATTTCACCCTTGTGAATTCTTACACAAAGACGAATATATTTACTATATGTACAAAAATCGTTAATGAAAAATCTTTTGATTAGATAAAACAGCGTGCTTTTGCCTAAGCCGCCATTTGTAAAAGGCAGCCACTGCCGCTCAGACCATGAGATTTCTCTTTTCCTCAAAATATCCCTATCAAAGGAAAAACATTAGGTAAATACTCAATAAACGATGAATAAATTTTCAAACCTAAATTTCAATTTCAATTATTTAAATTAATTTATTTAAATTAAATTCTAAATTATACATATAAATTGATATTAAAATTTTTACTCATATATAATAATAAAATAAAAATTAACCAAAACATTTAAACAATTTCTATTATTATTGGTCATATCTAATTTCTATTCTGATTGGTCAAAATTTATTATATCTTGTTATTTTTTCTCCAATAAAATGTAATATCATGTTCATGAATTAATAATTCGTTTCTTTTTATTGATAATATTTATCTGCATTATAATCATTATTTAATTGCTAATTTTCAATTTTCCTTAAATATAAATTATGTTTTCAATATATTAATATAATAAACAATTATATAATTAGTAAATTAAATTTTGACATTTTATTTTTTTTTTAATTTTATGTACTAATACATATAAACATAAATGCACATACATATGTACGCATATTCACATATATATATATTATAACAAAATTTTCTATTACTATTTAATTATTCTAACTATTTAAAATAGATAAATAATTTAACATTTATAAATATATATTATACGAACTTAGTAGCAATAGCTAATAATTTTGTATAATCTGCACCTTTGCTATGTGTCTTTTCTTTCATAATTGTTCTGAGAATATGAGGAATTGGTACATGGATCCTAGTACCCAAAGGTGTACCATTGTCATCTATAAGAACTATATTATTGCTATCAAATCTTGGAACTTTAGGATTTTGTTGTTGCTTCAAACCAACCAATATACCTTTTTTTTTTTCACCTTTTATGGCAACTAATACTCTGTCTCCTATATATTTTATAAATAAAAATAAATATATATTATCAAAATATCACATAATTATCTTACCTATATAACCAACTCCTTTTTTATTATAAACATGAATGCAACGTGGTGGTTTTCCTTCCATCATAGCTTGTTTTCCAATTTCACTATTATCTACAACTCTTAATCTTGTCAATTTTATTATTTGATTACATATTGTTGATGTAGAAACATTTCTGGATAAAATATTGAACATTGTACCATATATAGGCATTATTATATTATCTATAATATAAAGAAATAATATTAATTTTTGAATATGATAATTATTACATTATATTACAATATGCGATATATTTTTAAATACGAATATATATATATATATATATATATATATATATTTATTTATATATATATATATATTAATAATAATCGCATAAATTAAAATCTTCGTTATTAAATATTATTTAACTCAATTTCAAAAAAAGATTATTAAAATTTGTATAGAAAAAGAAATAAAATTATATAATTTTTTAAACAAATTTATTAATTATATAATTTAATTAAATCATTTTTTTATTTTTAATTTCTTTGATCTATTAATTTTATAAATCTATTATAAAATTTAACATATATGATAGTTAATACAAAATAAAAAAATGATAATATCTATAACATTATTGTATAATGTTATAGATGTATGTTATTGATGTCTGTACTATTTATCTTAATTTATTTTAACGTAATATCTATTACATTACTTACTTACTTATTAATACTACATTACTAACTATTACTACATTATTAACTACATTACTTACATTACTTACTTAATTTATTAAAACTTTTTAAAAAAAACTAGTTTTGTTTTGTTGCGAACTTTAAGAATGGTTAAGAATTGAGAAAAAAGTTAAACATATAACCTATATATAGTTTTATCGAAACACATTTTTTTTTCCACTAAAATGAATAAAGTTCAACGATGTCGGAAGGCAATTAAACAATTATGTTTCGCTTATATACCTCAAATCAATTTGTTATTTATTCGAAATTATAGTATAGAAAAAGATTTAAGTATAAATGTAACAAAAGATAAGAGACAAAGCAAGAAAACAGAATCTGCTAATTTTGAACAAATTCCACAATTTTCAAAAGATCTCGAAGTTGAAAATAATCTACTAATTCCAAGACAGGATACTTTCGCTTCATTACTTCGGCATTCTAAATTCATAGATGTAAATATGAAATATTTTATTGCATTACATTACATTTTATTATATTATATATAATTCAACTTCTTTTTCTTATTTCTTTTCTATAATATATATATATATATTTTTTTATGTGTATTAATCATATTTTAGCTAGGAAATCCAGAAGGAAAAGTAGTATTGGGAGAAATTTTTCATATTATTAATAATGATTTATACATTGACTTTGGATGGAAATTTCATTGTGTGTGCCCAAGACCTCAAAAAGACTCATTGTAAGTTATAAATAAAATTTTTATTCTAATAAATCATAGTTCAAAATTTATTATTTTAGGCAATATAAAAGAGGCTCAAAAGTCAAATTATTAATAAAAGATTTGGAATTATCAACAAGATTTTTAGGAGCATCTACAGATCTAACAATATTAGAAGCAGATTGTATTCTTCTTGGTTTAGTGCATACTTCATCTGACAAAATGAAAGTGTAATTATTATTTTTTTAAATAAAGGAGAAAAGTTTAAAGATTAAGTTACATGTCTTTTTATTTTCTTAACATTTTACTTAACATATATTTTTCTTAACATATATTATAAATGAAAATCTAGCAAATAAAATAAAATTTTACATTATAAATAAATAAATATATATATAATATATTGGTTTAGGCTTATAACTAATATAACTTACTTAATCTTTATTTTACTAAGTGTTATACTAGAAAGTTATATTAGTATTAATTTTAAATTAAATTTATTAAAGATTTTTTATGATTTATATAGAAGTTTTCTGATATAATTTTTATGCAAGAAACAAAAATATTTATATATATATATATATATATATATATATATATATATATATATAAAATATCTATAATTTTGTCTTTTGGATCAAATAACTTATTTCTTAGTTCAATTTGCAAAATTATAAAATTTATAAACATTGATATATTATACTTATATCTAATTTATTAATTATTTAATTTATTAATATATTTTTTAATCTATATTTTTAATATGAACAAATTCAATATATTATAAATCATTAAATGGAAAAAAAAATGTAAATTTCTAGATTTTTAAATTCAATTTTTTTTAATAACACAAATTAATGCTTGAAAATCCCATATTCCTATATTTTACAATTTATTTTAGATATAAGCTATAAAAAGAAGTTATTCTTTAAAGTGGAAAAGAAATAAAATTTCTGAATTAAAGATTTTGATAAAATTAAAAAAATTGAGTAAACATATAAGTAAAAATAAATAATAAAAATAATTATTCTTATTAAATAATTATTTCACAGAAATAACTATTGAAAAAATTAAAATCATATATTTTTAATACTTTTACAACTTAATTGAAAAATCGTATTAAAAGATTAAATCGTATTAAAAGATTAATTTTATAATAAATATTATATTATTTTAATACTGCTAAAATTGAAAATTTATTGTAGAATTAATTTATTGTATGCTATTTTAGTGGAAATCAATTTCACAAGATGAGAAGAGATGAAATTTATGTTATACATTTATTGATCGTCGATTGTGAAAATTTAAATGATCACGTGATGATTTGATTTTAGTAGCAGTATTTTAAGAATAACAATATTTATAAAAATATTTTATATTTAAATCTTATATAAATATTTTTTAAAAATTATTTCGTATATGTGTAAGCTACATATGTATAATATATTTTGATATGATCTATGGTTATATTTACATATAAGATAACATAGAACAGACATAGAATTTTATTTTTATAAAATCAATCAATTTTGCAACATAATAATTATAGATATTCCATATTATATATCATAAATTTTACACTTATATATATTATGAAGAAACATTAAATTTATTATTAAGCTATTCAATAAAATATTTAAGCAACATAAAGATTTGACTGTAAAATAACAATTATATATTTTTAAAATATTTATATATGAGTGTTAATATATTTATGTGATAGAAATAAAACTGTTTTATTCTATCTATATTCCATTTTATTTAATAAAAATTTCTATTGTTTATTAATAAATAAAAACTTTAAACAAAATTTTTATATATCAACTTTTGCTTGATCTTTAGATATAATATAATCATATAGATATCATATAATAAATATATTAACACTTTGTATATAATATACGATAATATAAGAATATTATTGTATAAAACTTAAGAATGTAACATATACATATTTTTGTATCTTATAATTAATATTTATAGTATCAAGAAAATTTTAATAAAAATATCTTTAACAAGAATAGCTAGAATAAATAAAATATAAAAAACAGCACACACACACACACACACACACACACCTATTATAAGTATACACTTTTTCAAAATAATAATCTTTGATATTATTTTTTTATACTATGGAAAATAATAAAATATGAAGAATATAAAATTTCATTAAAAATAATATGGAAAAATTTCACTGTAATATCATTTGATTAAATTTTAATAAAAAAGCATAATAATTAAAATCTTTTGCAAAAGAAACATATTGCTACATATTATTAGATTCTGAAGTTACAAATGAAAAGTTCTGTGTATCTATGAGTAAATCTTCATTTATATTTGTTTTTTCTTCTGATTCAAATTCATCTATATCTTCTCCATCAGTTATTACTTGAGGACCAGTGGATTTATATTGAAATGCTGAATGTGATAAATCAACTTCAACAGGAAATAACATTACTGCAGATAATAAGTCTCGTATGTTAGAATAATATTTTGCTAAACCAGTTGCAAATTTTTGCATTTGCCATACAACATCTTGAACGTGTTTATTGTCTAATAATTCAAGTTTTACAAGCACATCTGATCTAAGTTTAGCAAATTTTGCACGAGCTTCTTGTCGACATCTCAATACTAAACGATATTCATAATTTCCTGTCTCTACTCGATAAAGAGGTTCTTGTAATGCTGCATAACTTTGTTCTTCATCATCTAATTCTTTTACTTTTAAACAATAAGAAAGATATTCAAACTTTGCATCAGCATATTTGCTAATAGTTAATCGAGTATCAGGAATAGCTTTATGAAGATATGTGCCTAGATCATTTAATATAGGCTTTAAAGTTTTTAAAATTGTTATTCCAAATTTTTCCATTTGTCTATGTTGTTCACCAAATTGTCTGAAAGCTTCACTAGCTCGTGGTTGTGGTTCTCTTACTCCTATTGCAGCAAAGGCATCTCCAAATACTAAAATATATACAATACAGAGTTTAATATATAAGAATATAATACATTAAAATATTAGTAGAATCGTGATATACATAAACAATACAAACTTTTATAATTTAATAATTTTAATTCTAATAATAATATATTCTTATGAACTATTCATATATTAAATATTTGTTTTGATTTTTAAATGAGTAAATTAACTATATACATAATACTACCATATTACGTATATAATTTTTGATAATACATATGTATGTGTGCGCGTGCGTGTGTGCGTGCGTGCGTGTGTGTACACACAACATACATTTATTTAATTTGATAGTCTAATTAAAAATTTCTAAACATACCTTTATATATTTGTATCAGATCAAAAAAAGCATGCAAAGTAGCTTTAGCATGAGAAACTAAACCTCTATACAAATTCTCTGTACGCTGTAATGCCATTAATCGTTGTACAAGAGCATCATTACAAAGAATGGCACGCGATAATCCTAGCGCATCTGCTGTTGCGCTTCCCATTCCTTCAACTAATCTATGTTTTACCTGAAATTCAATTCATTAATATAAAATAATTTATGATAAATATATAATTTTAATAATAATTACCTTTTTCAAAGCAATATCAAGAGTACGACCTTGTTTAGGATCAGCATGTAATTTATTATAATTAATACTGACTTGAGAATCACAAGATTGTATCATTTTTGCAACTTCTACTTTTGTTTTTCCTCTGACTGATGTTCCATTTACTGCTACAAGTTCATCTCCAGATTGTAAAGTACCATCTATTGCTGCTGGTGTATTATCAAAAATTTGTACAATATATAAGCAGGGACATAAGGGTGCTCCTCCTCCAATACTAATGCCTATAAGATTACTGCTATCTTTTTGTATTACAACATTGCCAGAAGTTATAGTCATACCCCTACATAAATTAACAAAAAAAAAGAAGACACATTATATATTATATATCAATAATATAAATTTAATATTTAAATATATAAATTATTTTTAAAATATAATATTTACTTTAATTTTTATATATATATTATATAATATATATTATTTTAATAATATTTTATATATTATAAATAAAATAAATATAGTTATTATAATTTTCTATATAATATTTTCTATATAATATAATATTACATAATATAAGATATTCTATAATATTAGATAATTTTTATACTAGTTAACCAGTTAAAAAGTAATGTTATCAATTATAAAGAATTATTATGAATGACATCCAATGTAATCCATTATCCAATCTTCAATAAAGATTTTTCATTGTAAAATCAAAAAATAATAATGAAATAATAAGTATATATGTAAATATATATATAGAATAAAAACAAAATATATAATCTAAAGTACTGACATAATTAATTAACAAAAAAATCACCATCTATACTATTATCTGTAATAAATATTAATTATAAATATTATTTTTTTTTAATACTACATTTAATCATATAATACAAACACATATAATACAAAATAATAAAACAAAATAATTTGAAAAGCTTCTATTTGTAATATCATGCAAAACAAAGCTTAATAATTAAAAAATAAAAAAAATAATAAAATAATTTAAATTTTATGTCAAATATTACAAAAATTTTTCTTGAATTTTTTAATAATAAATGTTAAATGTTTATAAAAATAAATATAAATATTAAAAATATTAAAAACATGAAATTACAATATTAATTTGAATAGTATACTATAAACATCAAAATCAAGTATCAAGTAATACAATATAAAATATAAGCATATATTATTAAAACTTACGTCGTATTATTAGATAAATGATGAAGAGACTGATCTTGATTGACCAGTTCTACATCTGGTCTACATTTCGATTAAAGAAAAAAACATAGAGTTTATATTTTTTAATATACTAATATATTTTTATATATATTTATATATATAAAATTATATATATTTTATATATATTTATATAAATATTTGACAAAAACTTTAATAAAAAATAAGATAGTGAAACAAAAAAAATGCATACATGCGATCTTCCATTGTGATAAATTGTTGCAATTGAACATTAGCCAATGACACGGTGGTTAAAGGAACAGAATTTTCTTTACATTCTTCAATATTTTTCAAAGAAATATTATCTGTAGATAATAATGTTTGATCCATTAAACTATCCCACCGTACCGTGGCATACAGGCATGCATGTTGCAAGAAAAAAGAAGCAGATTTAAATTGAAGGGTAACATTCAATAAATAAATAATTAATTTTATAAAACCAACATCTTATCCTCTTCGAAAAAGAAATCATCTTCATAATCCATGCTTATAACCTGTAATATGAATAAATTGATGCTTAACACTTTGATTTCACAAATACATAAAATGTTTTTAAAGATTAAAAATAATTTTGATTAAAAAGATTAAAAATGAGATTTGATAACATATAATATTAATTAAGAAAAATAAGAAATAGAAAATATTCTAATATTAGTTATAAGACATTTCACCACTGAAATATTATATTATTATATTATTATATTATTTATAACATATATTTCATATAACTTCTATTCATTTTGTTATATAAATATATTTATGATGACTGTTCTTTTTGAGTAGTTTTTAAATAGTTTTTAATTTATTGTCTTATTCATTCAAATAAATCTTTTATTTTAAAAAATTAATTATTTTAAAAAAATATTTTTAAAAAATATTATATATTATAGTTTTTTAAAACTTTATACCAATAAAAATTTATTGTTTTAAATTTGATAAAGGTTAAGAGTTTTTTATATCATCATATATTATATATTATACAAGATTATATTTGAAAAAATCTTATAATTCCAAAACTAATTAATATCTATTAAGACTTTTTTAATGGAAAAGAATATATATTTCTTATTTGATAAACATTGCATGATCTTGAAATATTATTCCAAAATATCCTGTATATTATCAATAATAAATAATCAAAATAATTTAGTAATACATCAAAAAACTTATATTTTACATTTAGTTTGTGATAAATTTTAAGATTATTTATAATATATGAAATGAAAATCAATACATGCTAATACCTTGATGAATTATTTTTATGAAAAAATCAATTCAATATAACATAAATTTTAATTTTTATTTTTAAAACATCCCCTATATGATAAAACTTATTTTGAGACATGTCTTTCAATTAGTGGTATCAAATTGAGAAAAGTTTCATAAAAACAACACAATACTTTATTTTAAATAAATCAGAGATTGGAAATAATTCTAACTTCCAAATGATTTCGATTTCGTTATTAATTACGAAACTATCTCGACACAAGTTTCATTGTACAAGGCATACTTGAAGAATAAATGTGATGAATTTTTCACTATTTTTATTGTTACACAAAAATAAAAATAAATTTATATTAATTTTCAAAGCAAATATTTTAACATATTGATTTTTATGATGGTCATTTTCTTTTATATATATGTAATTGTTGAGTGAAACCAAAAACAATTGCTGAAAACATAAAACATTACACAAGTGTATTATATACTTACTTGTATTCTTATTGTTTGTTATAATTAATAAACACAAAATTTTATCTTTTTATCTTGTTATACTTAATTTAATAAATGTTTTATTTAAATATAAAAATTTAATTTTTTCTTATACAGCCAATTGAAAATTTTGGGCAAGATTGTTACTCTTCAAGCGTGTTCGTGATTGTGTTTTAAATTTAAATACTTGAAATAAATTAATATAAATTAATACTTTCAAATAAATCTTTAATAAAATTTAATAAGTTTTAATAAATTGAATGAAAAATATAATGAATTATAATAAACTATGTTCATACTTGATTAGTGCAAGATCTTCAATAATAATTTTTAAAGATGTTTTAACTAATGTTTTTATACATGATGTTGATATGTTTTTTTTAATAACAAATTTCAATTAAATTGATTTTATAAAAACTAATTTGATTGGTTTCACATTATTCTGTTCACAATTTTTATTTTTAAAGCGAATGCTTTACATCGAAAAATACTTCTTCTCCTAGCAACAAAAATAAATATATATTTAACGAGTTGAATTACATAGTTAACTATGATAATTTCTGATTGAAATTAAAGTTCAATATAAAATTATAAACTGCAAATAAAACAATGCAAATATTCTGATACAAAATATCTTAAGTAGGTTATATATTATAAAGTTATTATATTTTATATATGATTGTTTATCATTATTTGTATACATTTTTTTAATTACAATAAACAATTTTTACTGAGCAAAGATTAGAAATAAACTTTTATTTTGTAATTATTTTAATAAAATATTTAAAACAAATATTATAATACATATTATTTATAATTTATTTTTTATTTTATTAAATTTTTTTCTTATAATCTATTTTAGAATACTTGCTTTGAATTACAATATTAATTAATAATACTAAATATTAATTTAGTATTATGATAAAAATTAATATAGAATATATTTTTAAAAATAAAATTATATTTTTTAAAATTTTTAAATTTAAATTTAATTTTAAATTATTCTTCAAATTAATATTTACATGTAACTTTTCTCCAATATTTAAATTTAGATCTGTCTTTGTCTATAGCAAGTATACATAAAAGAGAAATAAATAATATAATATATAGTATATAATAAAGATAAAGATAGAATAAAAATTAAGATATCAGCGCCATCTTCCGAATATCGGAAATAAAAATAAGAAAGCAAATAACAGAAGCATAAAGATGGAGTATGATATCTGATTTTTTTGATTTTTATCCTCTATCTTGTCTATAATTATATTAATCTAAGGCATATGTAATATGAATAAATAGAAATAACAATGGGTTTATTAACGGATCCTCGAGCAGGATCTGGAAAAATAATAAAATTTTTATTAAAATGGGAACAGCCCCTTTGTTATTTTTTATATATAAGTGGTATTATATGGATGTTACTTCTTGCTTTACCCGTATTTAATGACAGTAAGTATAAAATTGAAATATATTATTAAAATATTATAAATTAAAAAGATTAAATTATATTTTTATATCAATTAAGTCATTGTATGAATTAAATAAAATTTAGATTATTTAAATAAAATGTAATAAAATATATTATTTATAATTTATACAGAATTTTAAATTAAAGATTTTTTTTTAATTATTTTATTCTCTGTATATTATAATTTTATCATTATCATATATATGTATGTAATTTTTTATATTTTTAATATATTTAAAAATTATATAAATAGAAATCAAATATGTAAATCAAATATTTAAAATATTTATTATCAATTAATATTGCAGGATACATTATTAATAATATATATATTTTTTAAATATATAGATACCTATTTCTCTGAAAATGCTTTATTACCAGGATTAGTTACAAAAGAAAGTAATTTGGAACAAATAGCAAAGCATTATTATGTGCACTTATTGCACGAAATGAAACAATATCCAGATATAATGCCATATGCATGGTTAGCTGCTACATTAAGCCAGCTTCATTTAGATGTTTTTTTACATAATTTTACATTAATATATCCTTTCCAAGAACAACAAGTAAGTATATAAAAAAAGATAGTTTTTTTATTAAATAAATTTTTTAAATATTTTTTAAAGTTTTTTTTTTAAAGTTATTTATTAAATAATGATAAGTTATTTCTTTATTATTATCAAAGAAGGAATTGTAATAATAAAAATATAAAGTATTTATAGTTTATAGGTCAAAATATATATGGAATTATAAGAGCTTCAAGAGCAGCCAGTACAGAAGCAATTGTAGTAAGTGTTCCTTTTAGACCAATTAATAGTATTTATTTGGATACTACACCTTCTATTGCTCTACTTCTTGCATTTGCTAAATTTTGTAGAAGTAAGTATTTACATAAATATATAAATTAATTATTATTGTATTAATATTGTTAATTATTTTATAATATTATCTTTTGATAAAAAGAAAATAAAGTATTCTTATTGTATTATTTAGAATATTTATATTTATATAGAAACGTTTAAATAATAATTTGCAAAAATATAAATATATTATATAAATTATAAGGAAATAAATGAAAATTTAAAACTAAATGTAAAAATAAGATACAATTTTATGTAATTTTATATAATTAAATAAATATATATATTTATAAATATTTTTAATTTATAAATAATATTAAATAAATATATATATATAATATATATAATATTTTATTAATATATTATAAAATTTTATTGATATAGAACAAAAATACTGGGCAAAGGATATTATATTTTTAATAACAGAACATGAACAATTAGGAATACAAGCATGGTTAGATGCATATCATGGAGTTATAAGTGGTAATGAAGGGGTATTATTATCTGGAGATCTTCCTGGTCGCGCTGGTTCAATTCAAGCTGCTATTAATTTGGAGTTACATTCAATGAAGATTTCATCTATTGATGTTAAAGTATTTTCTATTTCTTTTTTTATTAAAATTATATTAAAATATAATTATATTAAATTTATAATAAAAAAATTGCATTCCATTTTAATTTTATAATAATTTTTTTTATTTTATATAATTTATAAATATATATATATGTATATATATATATGTATGTATGTATGTATGTATGTATGTATGTAAAGTACAATATATTTATATAGAATAATTTGTTAAAAAATGGTGGAATAATATAAATCTTTACTATTTGCTAGATAGAAGGATTAAATGGACGATTACCCAATTTAGATCTTTTTAATTTGGCACAAAATATGATAACTAAAGAAGGAATTCGGCAATCGTTTCAAAGACGTTTTGATGTTAAATATAAAAACAAATTTAAAAATTGGTGGTATCATTTTAATACTCTTCTGATGATGATCACAAGTCAAGCTACTGGAATTCCAACAGGAAATCATGGATTATTCCATAGGTATTTAAAAAATAATAAATATAAAAAATCATAAAAAGATAAATTATTGTACTTTTTAATTAAAAAGATTATTAAAAAAGATTATTGCAATTTTAATTATTAATTATATTTAATATTTTAATTATTATGACTTTTCTTAATAAAATTTATTTAATAATTTTTTTTGAATGGTTATTATAGATTTGGTATTGAAGCAATTACTTTAGAAGGTTTTGAAAAAGCTGGTCACCAAAGTTCTGATGGAAATTTTTATCAAGTTGGTCGTATTGTAGAAAGTATTATACGATCATTAAATAATTTGTTAGAACGTTTTCACCAATCTTATTTCTTTTATTTACTTCCATCAACTGATACTTACATTTCTATTGGTAAATAAACAATAATAATTATATAATAAAATAAAAATTTACGCTGAAATTTTAATTTATCTTTGTTAATAAGAAATATTAGTATGAAATTATTTAAAAATTTATAAATTACTTCAAAAATAGAAAATTTTTAAATAATTTTAAATAATTTTTTAGATGTAATTGTAAAAAATTTGTTATATATTTATTTAAAAATTATTTAAAAGCTTATTATATATTTAGTAAATGAAATATAAATAATTAACATTTAAAAAATATTTTAGGGCTTTATATAAGATCTTTAGTTTTAATTATTGCTGGAATATTTATAAAAGCTTTTTCAATGTGGCAAAGACTTCAAATATCTAATTCTGTAGAAGATAAAAAAAATCCTATTGTTAAGCAATCAAAGGTTTGTTTTTGTAATTATATTATTAATTTATATTTACAAAATTATATTAATATATATTTATACATTAAAAATATTAATATATATTTACAAAACTAATTATTTATTGAAAGTTGTATTATAAAGAAAAAAAAGAATAGAATAAAATAATTTATTAATAATAAGGATAAGTATAGTTCAATACTCGTAATATTATGCTTTTGTATTTCAATTTTTATAAATATTTTATAGGATGATGGATTGGATATTGGTGTTATTACATCAGAAATATTATGGGTTCATATTTGTGGAATTATGATTACAACATCCCCAGTTATATTTACTTATTTTGGCAGAGAAATGAATTTTCGTACAGAAGATTCTATATATTTTGGTTTCATGGCTATAACTATTTTAACATTAATATGGCCTTTGTATTGCAAAAGGTAATTTTAATATTGATTAATTATTGTATATGTATCATATTTTATATTTTGATAAATTTTTATTTTTAGACAAATGAAGTATAAAAATGCAGTTTTAATTTGTGTAATTGCATTAGTAGAATTAGGTACAATATTAATGTGTATAGCAATGCATAATTTTTCTCTAGCACTTCTTGTGGCTGTAATTTATGTACCTATTATTTTATCAATAACACCAAAACAAAACTTCACAAAGTAAGTCTATCTTGAAAATAGTTTTTTGATTATATTAAAATTGTTTATTATTATTTTATATTTTATTTAATTATATTAATACTTATATTTTATTTCATTATTATAATAAAATTACTTTTATATATTTGTTGGAATAAAAACAAAAAATAATATAAATTTAAAAATCAAATATATATATATATATTTATAATTATTTATATTTATTTTATTCAATTTATTTTTCTTTTATTTATTTATTTATTATGAATTATGAATATTGAATTATAATTTATTGTTTATTATTTTATATTTGTTTATTATTTTATATTTCTCATAATAAAATTTATAATTTATAAAATTATGTTTCAGATTTCGCAAAATACTATCACTTACCTGGATTTTTCTACATCCATTTATAATTGCAAGTTTATTCATAATATGTTATACATATGTGAACTTTTCTTCAGATTCTTTCTTTTCAATATTATTTCGTGGACATCGTGCTATAAAACAAGCATTTGTATTTAGTATTATGGATTCAATGATTTATGGAAATTGGTTGTATAATGTAACAATTTCTATAATGTTTCCTATTTGGATTTTATTTTGGAATATTTTATGTTCTAATAATCATATAAACTTATAATATATATATAACTTTTAATATTTAATATATAAATAAACTTTTTTATAATAAAGATAATAAAAATAATATAGTTTTATTAATATTTCTTACTATTATTATTATTTAACAATATATTATATATTACATTAATTTTGAAAAATTATAATTATTGTCATAATATAATTAGTAATTATAGTTTAGTACAATTACTATCACAGTAAAATAATAGTAAAATAGAAATATATATATAATATATATATTGCATAATATATTACATTAAAATTATTATAACAATAATTAATTGATTTTTTTAATTATATTATTTTAAAATAATGTTACACAGTCATAACTTAATATATAATATATAGAAAATTTATAATTAGCAGAATTACTATATTTTATAAAAATTTTATTTATAAAATGTTATAAAATATATACATTTATAATATATTTATAATAATAAATTACATTGTAATAATTTACATTATTATAATACATTATTATAACATCAAATATGTTATATATGAAATATAATAAGAATTTTTTGAATTTATTTACTGAAAAATTTAATTTTTTTTATCATTTTCATAAAACAAAATAATTTATTTAGTTTTTTATATGATTATAAAATATTTAAA